TACTAAGAAAATAAACCGATCTACGAAGAATCCTAGCATGGTTTCTTACAGATTACCTTCAAAACAATTTAGATATAAGTGCACAAGCCAGAAAAAACTTTCGGCCACAAATTGAGAAAGACAAAATGCTTGCAGACGAAACAGATTGGTTATGGGACCCAGAATGATGCTAGGTTAAATTTGTTAAATTGCCAATTGATTTTTCAAGTGTGGCGACTGCAACTATCCCAGTACACAAAGATCGGTTAAAAATACCCCATTAACAATCGACACGACACGTTTGATTTACAACATAACGTTTAAAGAGAGGACTTACAATTACAGTTTAAACTCAATATTCATAAATACACAAGAAAAAATTAAACGGAACTACGAATTTAACACAACGAGATATTCAAACGACATCATTTTTCGTAAACATAGAAATTGTTTAAAAATACCCAAAACAATACAACAACTTATTTTACCTACACGTCCTGCACTCTCAGGACCAAATAACAAAAATAAAACTCCGTGTCCACCAACAACATTACAATCAACAGAAAAAATATCAGTAGCTCCAAAGTATTCACACATGGATTGTCGAACATATAGACTTATGACTAAAAAACGTCCATTTGATAGACCAAAATAAACAAAAGGAAATAAATTTGCAAAACATAATTATGATTTTTTTTACCAATAACCATATCTGCAATTCAATAGCATCACTATTTATTACAACCCAAAATCAAACTCAACAACATAATTATAATCAACAAGCACCAAAAATTTCAACAACTCAATCTATAAATTTTCTGATAAGAGAAAACCCTAGACAGATCGCACTGGGTACTACCCATTTTTTCAACAAAACAATTGACTCAAAAAGTAGACAACTCAGTAGAAACAACCACATTCTTCAGACGATGAAGAGAACTTACATCAAAATCAACAGCAGTGCAATACTTATCACCGAAAAAACCAATGAAACGACATAGATCAACCAGATGGTACTTGTAAACCCGATTGTTTTGAGCTCTAGATGAATTCAGAAAGTCGACGACAAACACACTAACACTACTCTCTATAATAAAATTTTGTACAACCAGATAAAAACATACAATCACATTATCAAATGAAAATTCAAGGTTACCCACCTGATTCAATGAGAATGAAATTCCACTTCTTTATTTTTTACAGCATGAAGTTAACAAAACTCAGCTTACAAACTTTACACAAATACCAAATAAAGCAAAATCACTCCAAATGACGATGAATCCATACCGCCAGGGTGGATTATCCATAACGTCAAACAAACCACAAATGGTTTCCGCAGGAAGAGACTCTGATATTCAATAGAAAATTACCTGAACGCTGTCGCATTTATAGGCACATAACCTCTAAAAACACCACTTTACCAAAATCGGGTTCATAGAAGTACAGCAATTATACAAACCACAGTCAAAGGCGCAGCTCAAAAAAAGTTTGTAAATTCAAAACTCGTTGGTAAATTAGAGCAAGCTGAAATCACAATGAAACTAGAAGAAACAGAAAAATTAAATTTACATTATTTCAGTAAAATTCAGACAAATAGGTCACAGATAGTAAAAATTCAAGACTCCGATAACCTTTTAGCATAAAAAATCTCTCATATCCTAAATTTACGCAACAAGAACTGAAAGTTTAGAGAAAGAACCCTCTCATTTAAAAAATGATGTTAACGGACATATTATTATCGAATGCAGACAAAAACAACAACATAAATCAAACCGCCCTCAAAAACATGAAGAACCGATTAATTTTTGTTAGTAATACATGAAAAAAGTTGAAAACTTACCAAACAAAGCTATTCAAATTAATTACATTTCAGGGCAACCACTCCCACCTAGTTATAGTAATCACCAAATTGCAACAATTTTCGTGGACGATCACCAGACGAAATTCACAGTATTTTTCACATAACTGATAAAATCGATCAAATACTTAAAACAATCCGTACAGAATTTAATCTTCAAGATCTATATCTTGTAGAAGTAGTTTCTCCAACTACAATAGAAATCGATCATACTCAATTAACAGCAACCGATGTTATTGAAAAGATTGTTCAAGAAACTCTTCATACGACCGTAATAGATTTTTTTACCAAATAAATGCAATAGAAGTTATTCAAATAAAAGATACCGGAACTACCCAAACAATAAATCTTACAATATATATAATTTACAACATCAGATCTCGCGAAATTTCTAATAACTATGGACCTAGAAAATATAGCTAACAAAATAGATCACAAATATATTCCCAATCACCGCATCGAAACAAATCACAATATTCAGATAGGAACAGTCTAATAACTATAGAAGTAAAACACATAAATCTCAACGACAAATGAATCAAGTAGAAACTACAAACGAAACGACTTCAGACCCACAGGGATAGAAAACACAGAAACATTAGAAATTCATACAAATGCAGAACAGCATATACTGAAAGAATTGTTCATCAGAGTACTTTAGTTAAAATTATGTTACAAAAAGGACAATTTTCGAACCATTAACTGGACGTGCATATGATTGTTCAATCAACCAAGTTCAACAGTATAAAATGATTAAAACACTCAAAAGGTATACATGTCTGACCTCATCCCTCAAAGTCATAAATATTTCAGAGTAACAATTTCACCCAATTATTTTTTTAAAAAATACAGATATCGACGTAATGGATTGCTCTATATATATATGCAACAATTCACCATACAATTTTTGAATTTTTTAGGACTAAGCGCACATTGCGAAACCAACGCAACATTATACCATAGTCAAGAAAAAATTTTAAACATTTAATATAAATTTAGGTCTCCCAAATCAATCTTTGTCAATCAACAAAACTGAACAATGAATGATTTATTAATAATATCACAAGTGAATCAAACGAAAATCTAAAAAATATTCAGAAACCCCTAATTCATACCTGCTTTTGAAATTTCGAACTATCCAAACAAACAACTCCATTTTCTTAACAATGTTTGACTTCCAACACTCAAATAATTCAACAAGATTTTGAACAATTTGCAAATACTAGATGTTCTTGAAAAAAATGAAATCATTTCCCTAGTAAAAAAGAACAATAAGCTAAAAGGAATACATTCAAAAACCCGGTCATTTTTGTCCCAAAAACGAATCTCCTAAGATAGTATTAGGTGGACCATATCTAAACTCTCTATATAACAAAATCCAAACTCTCTAATTAACGAATCAAAATGCAAATCACCCATAGAACCAAAACAATTAATTCTCCTTAAAATCAGCGGACATTATTATATAACTGCAGATATGAACTGTGCATATAACCAAATGCCATCTGATGAACAATCATCTGTTTGACACAATTTGTCATTGGAAACCAACAGTATGAACTTAATAGATTACTCTATGGCATCTTGATAAGACCAGCAGTTTTTTCTATCATCATGAGTAATATTTTTAGATCACTTCTTCTAAGTAAATTTGTTATCAAATGTTTAGATGATGTTTTTCATATAATCACAAACAAAACAAGAAAATATCACAAAATTCTATTCAAAGTAAAAATAAAAGCAGCTCCAGATTAATCACGTTTTTTTCTCAACCGTGTTAAGTTTCTCGGACAATCATTGAAGAAATACAATTAAACCCTCAGAATAGATGCAATTTTAAAACTTGAACCACCATCTAATAAAAAGAAAATACAAGAATTTTTTTGATTGTGAAACTTCTGAAGCAACTATGTTTAAAAAGTGCAAGTATATCTCAGACATTTTTACAAAATATTACCACAACAAAACAATTTTGAATGGACCTTGTAACAATGAAAACATTTAGATGAAACTTAAACAGTTCTAACTGCACAAATATAAAACATTATCCCAGATCCAAAACAACTGTTTTATTCAGTGTGCGACGCATTTAATTTTGGAATTGGCGCAGCTTTTTTACAATTACATCAAATCACAAACAAAAAGAAACTAAAACACTTACGAGAGAATGTACAGCTATAACTTATACATGAGCAGAAAAAGATTTTTTAATCCTTGGATCAACACGTCCAACAGTTTTAATTACAGATCATAAACCCATAAATTTCTTTTTACACAAAAATTTAACCCCAAGTATAGTGTATATAGATTTCATCTAATTCGAATAAAATTTCCGAAATTACACAAAAATTTACAGCCGGCCAAAACCTTGCCGAGACACACCTAGTAGAAATACACCACCAGAACTACTTTCACGAAAAACAACTGAAGAAATACCACGAATTATAAAACTCTTTCTCATTTAAAACGAAACATCTCCACAATAAGATTGTGAATATGCAGTCCAAGTGCCTCTAATGATAACCAATTATATCACCTAGAACACTTTCCTTTTTACTTAGATTGCCGAAACAATCATTATTAAATTGGCTTAATAGAAAACAAGGCATTCAAATTTATACCATTCTGACCAACCCTATAGGTTATATAATGGCGCCTTTTGCACTAATTTTACTAAACTGTTGGGGAGTGCTCGCCAAAAAAAAACAGACAGAAAATTTTGGTCAAAGTTTTCCTTAAATGCAGGAGAATGTCATTTTGGCCTGTGTTTCTTTGAGAAAAATTTGCATGACTTATGGTCTTAACATTAAAACTAAATCTCATAATCATGGAAATTAATTGCACCCCACTGAAACAAAACATACATGTGCATGACACATTTCTCTTCCAAACTTTCATGTCAAAACCTAAAGCAATCGCACTCATCATACTTCAAAAGATGTACATTTTTCGGAATTGATTCGAGAATTTTGGTAATCTTGATTGTTTATTCAAACTTCCCACCTGTCACTTGAAAGGCAATATATTTATGTTAAGAGTTTGTAGGGTGATTGGTTTTTTTGTTATGATTTTTATATTCTTAATGGCTTATACACTAATTTTGTTTTCAAAAGTAGGTATGTTTTGTAAAATTCTGTGATTGACTGTTTTCCAATTGTTCAAGCTCCGTCGCCTCCGAATATGGATCACGGGTGGGCACTGCATTATTTTGACGATACAACTCTTGCCATATTTTCAAGCTATGTATTATCACCTGGAAGCGGGAGACCTGACAAGTTCAAAGTGGTATCAGTGCACCCTGCCCCAAACACACCATTCAGTACAATTACAGCCGATGACTCATCCGATATCTATATTCGGAATTTGACAGCTTCAACCAGATACACAGTGTCGGTAGTGTATACCATGGGTGATGCTACTCCATGCAAGACTGCACTCTCTGGTCCACTGGAGAGCGAAGTGGTACAAGCTGTGGCTTGTACAGGTGAATATGTTTTTGATTTGCATGGAGTTATTTATTAATGATTTTTTTTCATCGATGAGAGGAAATACCGCATTTCTATCAGGTGTGATCACTCAAAAAAGACACTGTTTCGACCCGCATCGAATACAGTGCTGATTTAAATTAACCGGACAAAACGAGCTAAACTTGAAATTTAAAACGCGTTTTTCTCAAATTGGGTTAAGATTAGACAAAAAGTGAAGAGAACAAAAAATGCTTAGAATTTCACCAGAATTAATATGGTGCCATTTTTCTCCGAAATTCTCAACAAAAATTTTACCCCAAAAATGGGTAATTTTGGCTTTTTTCAAATAATCAACATTTACGCAAAAACTACTTTGTTAATTGATAAGAAAAATATATCACAGGAAGCCTCTTACGCAGCTCAACAAAGTTTAAGAAGGGTTAAATCTCCAAAAACCAGTATAAGAGAAAAAAATTTCACTTGATAGTCAATAAATGTGATTTTTACAATATAAAACCCAGAATTTCTGTTTAAAAATAAATTTTAAACAATTTGCGCAAATTTTTGGAGATTTAACCCTTCTTAAACTTTGTTGAGCTGCGTAAGAGGCTTCCTGTGATATATTTTTCTTATCAATTAACAAAGTAGTTTTTGCGTAAATGTTGATTATTTGAAAAAAGCCAAAATTACCCATTTTTGGGGTAAAATTTTTGTTGAGAATTTCGGAGAAAAAATGGCACCATATTAATTCTGGTGAAATTCTAAGCATTTTTTGTTCTCTTCACTTTTTGTCTAATCTTAACCCAATTTGAGAAAAACGCGTTTTAAATTTCTAGTTTAACGCGTTTTGTCCGGTTAATTTAAATCAGCACTGTAGTTCTGTGACATGTCAACTTTGTACAAATTTGAACGGAAGATGAACGCCAAAAATATTGATTTTAAGTGTTGCCAAGAAATCGTTTGGCTCTGCTCTGGTTTAGCTGATCAGATCTAAAAAGACGTGATTAGTTTTTTCCGACTAAAAAGTTTTGTCGAATTTTTTGCAAACTTGACTTGAAATTATCCAGATCGCTGAAAGGCATCAAATAGTTCAATCGCTATGCCCAACTTATACATACAGCTATATGTAAAGCATCTGCCAATTTTAATACGGCTATGTACATTAAAATCGAATAGACACCTATTTTTTTGCAATATAATGTTTTGGGAGTTTGCAAAAATTCGATAAGATTCAAAATCAAATGAGCTCCGCGTCTTATATTTTGCGTTTATTTTGTAGTTTTTAAGATTTTGAGTAATTGCCAGGGGATAACAGCCTGGTTTAGAGAGGTCATAACAGAAAGTATGTTCACTCCGCTTTTCGCTTTCAAAATTTGAGCTGTGCAAATTTTCCTTTACGGGGTTATAACGGAAAAAACCCCATATATGGAGGGGCGGATTTAGGGGGGGGGGGGGGGGGGGGGGGGGGCGATTCTACGCTTCTTCCTCAGGGATTCGACCACCTGCCGACCCAAAGGGCCCCCATTGTACTAGTTTGAGATAATCATTTGTGCCTGACGAACACTAAATTTTTTCTAAAGGCTGCTTCGGCCCCAATTTATACTAATTTTGAGGGGGGAGCGCGCTCCGAAAAAACATTTTTTTTTTTGGTCAAATTTTTCGGAAAAGTGCATAAAAACGCCTTTTTTGTCCTGTTTTTTCGAAACTTCGCCTGCGGCGCAAACAACTTGGCCTTAACAAGGTCTTTTTGGTGCTATGGGAGAAATCGGAAAATCAATTCCAGCGACCTGAAAAAAGGTCGACAAGATTTTTGAATGTTTTTTGAAAATCCTAGATCCGCCTCCTAGATATATGTAGTCTTTTTAAGGGAGTATTATATTACATGTTGCATTTTTCTAATTTGTTACGCGGTATAGTACATATACATTTGCCAGTGACGAATAAAAGATGCAGTTCTTAATTTTCGGGTGTGGTTTGTATCTACTGGAACCAGTTCTAAATTGAATTTATAGTTGGTTATGAAATGCAATTCTCTATTCCTATAAAATATTAAAACTAACCAATCATATTCCATTCCTAACAAGGACACTGATTTGTAAGTGCTGAAACTATTTGTAGTGTTTCAGCACCAAAAAAAATTGAATAAAACATAGACTACAGTTGTTCTCCTTCTGGATATAGCTCCAAGAACTAATACGCAAAAACCAATATACACTAGATCTATTGAGACTAAGAGATATAAGAGTAAGATTAAGATTGGTATTAGGCTAAGAAGTTGCACGAATCTATCCGGCCGAAAAAATGATAGCGTGACGAACAGACGGTTCACCTTATCTGAAATAATTTTATGGGTATAACCGAAAGGTAATAACTCATCTGGTGCGACCAAAGGTCTCGAACAAGACCTTAACCTACCTAGAAGTAAAAAAATTGGAATAAGACAATTCCAAAATTGCAAAAATGTTAGATGGGTAAGAAAATTTAATAGAAATGTCTCTACGACTCAATAGATCTACGCCAAATTTCAAACAATACTAGAAATACCGAAAAAATACGAGCACTTAGGTATTGCGCGAAGACCATGAACAAGGCACGATCTATGATTAAGAAGAAACCTACCAATTGACTTCATGCTAGTAAGACGAAAACCGGAAAACGAAGTTTTTGTATTTAAAATCCTTTCCACAGAAAATTTAGATTTTCATTTACTGACATAAAAACAATCTGAAGAACAATTCTTCAATACAAATGGTGCTTAACCTAGTTTTTATACTTTAATGACTTATAAAAACAACACAAGTCGTTTCATCCCGAAATCTGCAGTAAATCAAAACTTTTGAATAAAAAAATTTATTGAATAAAAAAATTTCACTTGATAGTCAATAAATGTGATTTTTACTATATAAAACCCAGAATTTCTGTTTAAAAATAAATTTTAAACAATTTGCGCAAATTTTTGGAGATTTAACCCTTCTTAAACTTTGTTGAGCTGCGTAAGAGGCTTCCTGTGATATATTTTTCTTATCAATTAACAAAGTAGTTTTTGCGTAAATGTTGATTATTTGAAAAAAGCCAAAATTACCCATTTTTGGGGTAAAATTTTTGTTGAGAATTTCGGAGAAAAAATGGCACCATATTAATTCTGGTGAAATTCTAAGCATTTTTTGTTCTCTTCACTTTTTGTCTAATCTTAACCCAATTTGAGAAAAACGCGTTTTAAATTTCTAGTTTAACGCGTTTTGTCCGGTTAATTTAAATCAGCACTGTAGTTCTGTGACATGTCAACTTTGTACAAATTTGAACGGAAGATAAACGCCAAAAATATTGATTTTAAGTGTTGCCAAGAAATCGTTTGGCTCTGCTCTGGTTTAGCTGATCAGATCTAAAAAGACCTGATTAGTTTTTTCCGACTAAAAAGTTTTGTCGAATTTTTTGCAAACTTGACTTGAAATTATCCAGATCGCTGAAAGGCATCAAATAGTTCAATCGCTATGCCCAACTTATACATACAGCTATATGTAAAGCATCTGCCCATTTTAATACGGCTATGTACATTAAAATCGAATAGACACCTATTTTTTTTGCAATATAATGTTTTGGGAGTTTGCAAAAATTCGATAAGATTCAAAATCAAATGAGCTCCGCGTCTTATATTTTGCGTTTATTTTGTAGTTTTTAAGATTTTGAGTAATTGCCAGGGGATAACAGCCTGGTTTAGAGAGGTCATAACAGAAAGTATGTTCACTCCGCTTTTCGCTTTCAAAATTTGAGCTGTGCAAATTTTCCTTTACGGGGTTATAACGGAAAAAACCCCCCAAAATGCAGGGGCGGATTTAGGGGGGGGGGATTCTACGCTTCTTCCTCAGGGATTCGACCACCTGCCGACCCAAAGGGCCCCCATTGTACTAGTTTGAGATAATCATTTGTGCCTGACGAACACTAAATTTTTTCTAAAGGCTGCTTCGGCCCCAATTTATACTAATTTTGCTTTTCGTCAAATTTTTCCGAAAAGTGCCTAAAAACGCCTTTTTTGTCCTGTTTTTTCGAAACTTCGCCTGCGGCGCAAACAACTTGGCCTTAACAAGGTCTTTTTGGTGCTATGGGAGAAATCGGAAAATCAATTCCAGCGACCTGAAAAAAGGTCGACAAGATTTTTGAATGTTTTTTGAAAATCCTAGATCCGCCTCCTAGATATATGTAGTCTTTTTAAGGGAGTATTATATTACATGTTGCATTTTTCTAATTTGTTACGCGGTATAGTACATATACATTTGCCAGTGACGAATAAAAGATGCAGTTCTTAATTTTCGGGTGTGGTTTGTATCTACTGGAACCAGTTCTAAATTGAATTTATAGTTGGTTATGAAATGCAATTCTCTATTCCTATAAAATATTAAAACTAACCAATCATATTCCATTCCTAACAAGGACACTGATTTGTAAGTGCTGAAACTATTTGTAGTGTTTCAGCACCAAAAAAAAGTGAATAAAACATAGACTACAGTTGTTCTCCTCTGGATATAGCTCCAAGAACTAATACGCAAAAACCAATATACACTAGATTTATTGAGACTAAGAGATATAAGAGTAAGATTAAGATTGGTATTAGGCTAAGAAGTTGCACGAATCTATCCGGCCGAAAACATGATAGCGTGACGAACAGACGGTTCACCTTTTCTGAAATAATTTTATGGGTATAACCGAAAGGTAATAACTCATCTGGTGCGACCAAAGGTCTCGAACAAGACCTTAACCAACCTAGAAGTAGAAAAAATTGGAATAAGACAATTCTAAAATTGCGAAAATGTTAGATGGGTAAGAAAATTTAATAGAAATGTCTCTACGACTCAATAGATCTACGCCAAATTTCAAACAATACTAGAAATACCGAAAAAATACGAGCAATTAGGCTTTGCGCGAAGACCATGAACAAGGCACGATCTATGATTAAGAAGAAACCTACCAATTGACTTCATGCTAGTAAGACGAAAACCGGAAAACGAAGTTTTTGTATTTA